CCCGCGGGAGAAGTGGCATCGCCCAACCTAAACTTGAGCGTCCTCGTCGTTTCCGGTTCCCTCGGCACGTTTTCCCCCTGACCACTCTTGACGACTTTTTTGCCCGTGGGCAGTTTACCCTTACCAAACTTGTCGGCTCCTCTTGGCCCGGTGTCCCACGTGTACCGTAGAAACCTCTCCTCTGAGGGGTCGGTGGGCTTGCCCTTTGCCTTGTTGAGAGCGGCCTGGTCGGGACCGCGCACGGGGTCTCCGTAGAATATCGGTTCGCCGTCTTTTGCGCCGTTCCTCGTCTGGGGTAATGGCGGGCGGAGCGAGGTGAGTCTCTCGCGCAGCTTTGGCGGGAGGTGAGGCGAGTGCATCTGGTGGACAAGAGAGGAGAGCATGCCGGATCGGTCCGGATTGACGGGCAGGAGGTGGGACGTGGTTTGGGTGTCGCTGTGGCTGGGGATGATCGGGGAGACGCGGGGTCCAGGAAGAGGGAAGATGAGCGTGTCAGAGGGTGAGAATTGCTCGGCTGAAGCGACCGACCGGCGGAGGATCTCGGTGGCTTGGCGGCGGAGGTCGGTCTGGCGGAGCGACACCGAGGGTTCAGACGCGATGGCCTGGTACGTGCCGAGTAACGAAGGGAACGAGGATGTCGGCGGGGGCAGCAATACCGGAGAGCTCGGTGTGGGAGGATCTTCGAATGGTTTGGACGAGAGAAGTGACCCGGCAAACGGGATCGCGCGGCGATACTTGTCCGCGGTGGATGTGGGAGCGGCTTGGTGGCTCTGTGGAAGGACGATGTCGGGGGCGGGGGCGTATTCGCCGGGTAGAGGTGGAAGCCAAGTCGAGGGGTCCGGCTTGAGCTCGATCTGGAGATGGGGTTTGACGTCGGCGTCGGCGTCAATGTCCATGCGATCAGTGTCCGCTTCCAGATCCTCCTCATCCTCCGAGGCCTCCTCCATGCTCTCGTCGTCGTCCGTCGTCTCCGGCACCAGCCTCATCTCCGCCAATGCCTCCTCGACGCCTCTCCCCTCATCCAGATGCTCCTGCAGCCCATCCGTCCCGCCCTCGAACAGCACCACGGGCTGATCCACCACCCATTCCCACAACGACTCTACCCCCTCGCCGAGATCCTCCAGCGTCGCGAGCACATCCCCCGCCGCGACCTTGTTCCTCCCGGCAAGACCGGCGCGCTCGGTGCACGCCGACGCGACGAGGCGGAGGTACTTTTCCGTCGCGGTGGAGAGGGTGAGCGAGGCGGCGCGCGACGTGGAGGCGAACCCGGCCTGGGCGAGGAGGTGGAGTGTTGCGAGGTGCAGTATGGCCTCGGGGGAGGCGGATGCCATGGCGGGTGAGTGCAATGACAAGGAGTGGGATTGAGGCAAGTAACATAGCCATGGCCATGGCCATAGCCGAGTGCCTAGGCCGACGCCGACGCCGAAGAGTGCCACACTCCGGCAATTCGCCACAACGCCGCGTAACGCCGAGTGCCACGCCGTTTCCCCTGAAGCCGTCTCCCACCCACTTCCACACCTCTTGCCCAGAAAAAATCCGCGCTTCCTCCAACTCCTCGTTTGACCTCTGATCGACTCGTCCTTGTCCTTCTTTCCACTTTCCCTTTCCAAAACCCCAGCCAGTGAGTGAATCTCCCGCGTTCCCTACATCTCGCGCCCCCGCTGACCCCGCAGAAATGTCCGACGACGAGCACCACGAGACCTTCGAGGCCACCGGGGCCGGTGCCTCCAAGACCTACCCGTGAGTGCTCCACCGGCGCGAGGACGAGGACGCCCCACACCGGTCCTCACTGGACGGGTCGTTCTCACCGTCCACACCCCCACCCCGCTGACCCGCGCAGGATGCAGTGCTCGGCCCTTCGCAAGAACGGCCACGTCGTCATCAAGGGTCGCCCGTGCAAGATCGTCGACATGTCCACCTCCAAGACGGGCAAGCACGGTCACGCCAAGGTCCACCTTGTCGCCATTGACGTGAGTCGGCGCGGGCGGTACGCGCGGCACGTCGTGGCGGTGCGGTCATCCGATCAGAGGATGCATAACAGCCGTGGATGTGCCGCGCTAGCTCATCGGCCATTCGCTGACACCTCCAGATCTTCACCGGGAAGAAGATGGAGGACATCTCCCCCTCGACCCACAACATGGACGTCCCCAACGTCCGCCGTACCGAGTACCAGGTGCTCGACATCCAGGACGTGAGCGATTCTTGTTCATTTCTCAAGCCCGTCTCCTGAACCTCTCCGTCTCTGTCTGCTCGACCCGCTCTGACCCCACGCTGACTCGTTTAGGGCTTCCTCAACCTCATGGACTCTGACGGCAACTCCAAGGACGACGTCAAGGTCCCCGACTCGGACCTCGGCAAGGAGATCGAGGAGGCCTTCGAGGCCGGCAAGGACCTCATGGTCACCATCGTCGCCGCCATGGGTGAGTGCGGTGGTTCCGCTCTTTCTCTCCGTCTGAAACCGTCCTCCTCGCCCTCCTTTCACAGTCCAATTGCCAATTGCTCCAAATTCATACGCCGACTCTGGCTGACCCACGCCTAGACGAGGAGCAGGCCATCTCCTGGAAGGAGGCCCCGCAGGAGAAGTAATCGGATCGGATCGCGCAGTCAAGTCTATATGCACGCGTGTCCGATTTCACTCCCTCTCTCCTGCCTCACGCCACCATCTGTTCGTTTTCCCCCTTACACGATCAAAAGTCTGTCCGTGACACCTCTTGTACGCGTTAGATGAGCAGCATGTAACGGGAGGTGGCGGTGCATATGTCTGGGATCAGGTCGTGCGGTGTGATCGAGCTCTCTCACGGCCCATTGAATCGCTCGACCAGGCAGAAATGCAAAGAGGTGTCGGACCTGGCATAAACAGAGGAGTCCTGTCCGAGCTCCTTAGGGGGGGTCCTTTGGGAATGGATGCGCGTACCAGTACACATCACAGACGCGTCAATCTCTTGTCATGGGTTCATTCTCACCTCCCCATCCACTCACCGTATTCGTCTGGCTGTGTCCAAAGACAGAAGCTTTCCACACATCCCGTGATTGATCGATACTGGACAAGCCGTACCGGTACGCCGCACTCGGCCTTCTCGTAGCTTAGGGATAATCGAGCGCGGTGAGTCACGCGTCGAGGAGGAAGGCACTGTCGAAGAGCTCCACTGATCATCTAGGGACATGACCCCCCCAAAACAGGCCACAAAGAAGATGGCATCAGGCCGTATACCTCGAGTGGGACAGGCGGCGTCGGAACCGGTGACGGCGGCGGTGGCGGCGAAGGCTCGCGATTTGGCATGGGAACAGGCTCTCGAGGTTGCGGATGGGGATCATACCAAAATCAAGTACCGGAGCTCCAAGTGGGCCAGTGTTCTCCCCCTCAGCACCAGCACCCGACCCCGGGACACGCCCCACATGGTCGGACAGGCTCCTACCAGCGGTACCGGTGTCGTCAAAGCTCGTCGACCTCGCGGGTCTGGCCGTCTTCCCGCTCCCGTTCGACACGACATCACAGCGCACACTACCTCTCTGCTCGGAGAGATCGCACCGCAATGCTCCGACTTTGTCCTCTTCTTCGACATCGAGCATGTGTTTCGCAAAGCGTTTGCCAGACAGAGATACAAGGATCGGTATCCGGGCTCAAGCATCGCGGCTGCCAGCTCCTACGACGAGTTTATTCACAGGGCGGGGAAGGGCAAATCGGTCCGCGTCGGGCTGTTCACTGAATTCTCGAACCCGTTTGGCATCAAGGAGCCGGAGAAGACTGTGGAGCGGCACTGTTGGGCGGCGGCGTTCTTCCCCGAGTCGGGTGACCGACCGAGGACGCTCATACACTGGGACGGCAATGCCAGTGCGTGGAAGCAGGAATGGCGTAGGAAGTACGGCGACAAGCCTTACCAGCGACAGATCATGACGAAAGCTCAGCGTGATCTTTCTGATCTCGTCAAGCCGGCGGTGGAGCTCTTCGGGGGGCCTGTGAATGTCACTGTCAACGACGAGCAGGCAATATCGATTAGATGGATCACATCGGTCGCCACAGCCACTACCCCGGAAAGGGCGTTCGAGATCGCAAAGCACCTAGCCGGCCCGCTTCGTCGCTAGTAGTCAACCCGTGACGCAGCTTTCTGGGCGCGGCGCGGCGCTTGTGATGCTTTCCCTCTCCGATCTCTTCCAAGATCACCGTACCATTTATATTACTTTCTCTCGCCCCTTCTATCAGTCAAGGAGGCATGGGTCTTACTTGTGGATGCTTCGTAGCCCTTACTTCGCGGGAGACAGAAATGTGTGCCACTGTACGGACTCGTGCTGTGCACTGTAGGCCGAATTCAAAATGCTCAGGCGCAGATCCTGGGAATCATACAAAGAATCCCATGTCATACAACGGGTCCCGAACAAGTCTGATACAGGTGAACTCGCGTTCGCGGACTTATGGGTGCTCAATGAAGCTCATCACCAACCTGGGGTTGGTGAAGACCCTCCAATCAGACTGTCCTGGCGTCGGAGTTGCCACATTGGAGGTTGGGATCGAGCCAGGCCGGCGCGGCGTGTGCGGCGAACCTTATTGTCGTTACGAAGTTCAGCGCGATCGTCGAGGCAAGTACATCCCACAACCATCCTCTGTCCCATGACGACAATCCCGTAACCGCAATCGGAGAAGCTGTAGCTTACACCAAGACCCGCTACTTCGCTGCCAGGAACAAGTAGGACGACTGCTAACTCGGCAGATATAACGTAGACACATTTGTGGCGGTTCGCTTACAGTTGACATCCCGACCCATTCCCTTCTCCAATGTCACCCACAAGCGTTTACATACCCAGACTAGCCCGGAACACTTCTGTACCCCCCTCCCCTCACTCCCAGCGCCGAAATCCTGGCAAGCCAATATCCAACGGGATCAATTTCACCACGGCCATCGGTGTGGCACTCTCACTCCGTCACCCCACATCGTGCTTCCCCTTTCTTTGGCGTCATTCCGCTTTATAACATGCAATTTTCGATGCATTTCATCAAGAAAGCCTGTCCCCTAGCTCAGTTGGTTAGAGCGTCCGACTGTTAGATCGTCTGATCAGCAATCGGGAGGTCGAGAGTTCAACCCTCTCGGGGACAGTCCTTTTTTGGAAGTGTCCGAATTGTTTTTGCCCCGCTATGGATGCCGGTGACTCGAACCGGGTGGAGGATGTGGTAGCCGAGTTCCCCCGCGTCTCCCGATGATGCCGATACTACTTGGGACAGCGGAAGCCTTGGAGCTGGCGGAGTGATCTGGCATCAAAGTCGGGATAGCGGTCGGAAGGGGGTGGGAGAACCTGGTGATCAGCCGATGAGAATGGACGTCCAAATGGCGGATTTCTCGCGCCCACACGGTACCGGCGGATAGCCCGAGGGTAGGAGAAGGCGCGTGAGACCGCGGGATGAGAGAGTCTGAATTAGGAGCGGGGTGAGGAGACGCTGAGAGCAAGCGCTCAGGTTATGGTTGATTGTGGCGGTAGTAGTGGGGTCGCTGCACCTTGAAGGGGGCGATGCTGGATGTTCGTAACAAGTCTTCCTGATCCGAGCATTGCTCTCCGGGCGTCAGTGCACCCAGCGAGTCATTGCACGTATCGCCGATCCATGAAAGTGGGCAAAACAGTCTGAGGCAGCCATCCCGCACGCAATGACGGAGGTGCCACTGATGACATCGCAATCGGATTTGCATGGTGACATGCCACTCGGGACGATACTCGCGCCTCGCTGGCGAACCGGCCATGGTGTTGGGCACACCAAGCGCAGCCGCAAGTGAACACTCAGATACTCATCGGGACAAAGACAATTAGTAAATGTATGTATGATTGGGCTCGACTCGAGAGGATCCGCAAAAGAGGTCAGAGACAATGCAGGCCTGGCAAGAATTGACGGGGGACGTTCGGAAGGTCCTTCTCCGAACCCGACCGAAGCCAAACATGCCTTGTAAGTCAGCTCTTCGGGTCCCAACCTTTGCTTCTTATCGAGGACTCGACTCGTCGTCATCGCGCTTCCCCTTCTAGTGGTCACGACGATCCGGTGCAGTTCTTGCTCAACAACCGCGGCCGGCTCACTTGCGAGTTGCGATGAAGCGTTTCGCCGCCGGGGTGTTCGGTGGCGTTCCTTGGCGCGTACGACTACGGATTCACTCGAGATAACGTGACCTGTGCAAATACCGTCTCTCGCACAGAGTCCGCGGGTCTCAAAAGGAAGCTGAACTCGCTTGTTCCGCCGTCCGGCTCGATTTCTGCATTCCGGGACCCGACTAGCACCGGAATCCGCCCAGAAGGCTTTCAAGCCAAGATACGGGGATCCAGAGCCAGAAGGCAGAGCTCTGCATACTTGTACTCGTCAGCCAGATGAGGCAAGACTGACGCGACTGACGCAGCTTCGTGCCTTCATTAGATTATGAAACGCTCCCAGAGCGAGGCGAGGCGGACGAGACGGGTCGCGGTAGATCCCGCTTCCTCAACCGTTCTATCGGGTCAAACCAGTGCAAGGCTGTGAGTCCTGGCTGTCCACCTCAGAGGAATGCAGCGACAGGACAGAATCAGATGCCGTTGCCGCTTCCTCGCCCTGCACCGGGTGACCCGAGGACTCGGAGAGGGCGACACGGCACTGCTATTGCCCCTGTCGCGGCAGTCGTCTCGGACCGGATGGCGGGTTGAGTTTGGACGCGATGGGTGGCGAGTCGCCTTCGTACTCTCTGGCACGAACGTGAAGCCAGAGCTTGCCACAGGCCGTTCCCGTGTTCCGCCAAGAATCAGATCCCCTGTCACAAATATGCGACCAGAGTCAGGCGATGCGAACCCTCCTAGAGGTATATATACCACACGCCGTCGTCCCGCCGTTTGGCTGTATCTCGTCGATCTGACTCGTCCCCCCTTGACCCTGTCGCTACCACCGCTGGACGACTCCCTCCAACATGTTCAACTACAGCCTCACCGTCACCATCCTCAAGATCGCCACGTTGTTCTGGGCCTTGCTCGTCATGGCCGTTGACGCGGCGTTTATCGCCAAGTTCAACTCGTACGGTGGGTACTTGAAGCTTTCCTTGTGTGAAAGATATGTCGAAGCGATGATAAGTGCGCTGACAGTCCGACCCAGTGTGGTACGGCCAAACCGGCAGCGGCTTCTCCGCCTCCAACGCCGTCATCGCCTGCGCAATCTTCACGATGGTGTACCTCGGCGTGGCGTGAGTGTCTGCCCTCGATGCTGCCCCATCACCACGTCCTGACGGGCACAGCCTCTACTTCATCTTCTTCGTCCCCGCGCACGTCCTCATCTCCGTCATGGTCGACACCATCTGCATCGGCTTCCTCTTCATCTTCGCCATCGGCTCGGTCGGCGCCCTGAGCTCGTATGTGGGTTGGTGGGGCAACTTCACTGGCACCAGCACACTGGGTTCGCTTCTTGACGCCACGGTCGGACTTGGATGGGTCATGGTGTTCCTCGTGAGTCACCGCGGTTCCATTGCGCGTCTTCGTTGATCCATCCCACTTCCTCGCGTCTCCCCTACCCTGCTGCCAGCGCTTGAGAACCCCCGCTGACCACTCAGCTCCTCGCCATCCTCCTCATCGAAGTCATCGTCACCCTCGTCAACTATGGCGGATCCCTCGACACCTGGAAGACCCCCTTCAACGAGCTGCTCGTCGGGTCCGGAGGCTCCCTCCGTGGCGCGAGGGGAACCAAGGTCGAGAGCGGTGTCGGTGCGCCTGCCATGCAACAGGCCCAGGCGCCCGCACCGGTCACGAGTGCGGTCTAATTCTTGCTTCTCGACAGTACCGTGTGCAATCACTGATCTGACCTGTCCGTACTTGTACTGTTACCTCGTATTCGCGACCGAAGTCTGACGAGAGTTGTTACGCTGGAGGGGAGCTGTCGCTGTCGGGGTGTAATGACGTTTGTCCCGCTTGACCCGCTTGACATTGCTGTACATCGCTTCGAATGTTATCAATGGCCATCTCTTCATACCGCTACAAGGCTACTGGTACAACGGTTCTCGACATCGGTCTCGCAGGATATTCGCGTTCTGCGTCAAGCACCCCAGGCCTCAGTAGGCGAGTAAGGTAGGAACTGCAGGATCAGTAAGAGCTCCATCAATCTGACCGCCGGACCGCTCTCACCTTGCCATCGAGTGTGATCACTACGCGATCTCCCTTGGGGTCCTTCTTGCGCTCAAGCGAAGTGCGGAAGTCTGCAACGGCATGTGTCAGCCAGTGCACGAGGAATGGGCCGAGCCCGGCACTACGAAGATCAAACATAGATGCGGACTCACCAATGGCCGACATGATGCCGTCGCCAAACTTCTCCTGGATGAGCGCCTTGTACGACATCCCGTACACGACGAGGACCTCGTACAAGCGGTAGAGCACGGGGTCCTGAAGCATCAGCATAATGTCAAGCCGCAGAGGAGAGACCATCAGCGCTTTCGCCCTCACCTTCGGAGGTCCATCCCACGTTCCCCCTCTCACCACCATCCCCTTGACTCCCATGCTCCCACTCCCCCTGCCCGCCAGGCCATCCACAATGTTCTCATCCGTGATCGTCTTGGTACCAGGGTCCTCGCCCCAGTAGTACCTGTACTGCGGGGGGATCTTGAGCATCTCGACCAGCTTCTTGGCCGTGGCCTCGTCGGTCCTAGCCTGGCCGAAGAACACGGCGGTGGTCCATACCTCGGGCTTCCCGATGGCCTTGGCGATCTCGGCGAACGTCAGGTCCGAGCCAGCCTTGGCGGCGAGCAGGGCGGTGCAGTGCGAAGGGATCTCAAATGACATGGTGGCGATTCCAGTGAAGCGACAGTGGGTTTGCTGACCACGGAGGTATGTTCGGAACGGAAACGAGAAGGGATCCCGCTGCATTCGCACTAGCACTTTATAGAGGACGCATGGTCTTCGTGTGAATCCAATCGGTCCGGCATCTGACGTAGCCGTTATCAAACTCACGCCGGGCCTCTGATAACCGATTCCAATAATGCACCGACAACGGAGCGTATCGTATCCACACATCGTTTCATACATAAGATCCTTATTCACACGTCTGCATATAGTTCCCCGTCTATTCCGGCTGGTACTCTTCCGGAGGCACAACGTAGGCCGCTGGGAAGAGACCCGTCGCTCCGTGACACTCTCCCTGCCACCAGTCCGCGTCGACCTGGTCGAATTAGCCTGGCGTCCACGCCACACTGCCCACACACCTTCTCGATATTGGTGATCTTGTCGCCCTCCTTGAAGGAGATCTCGTTGTCCTCGGCGGCGTCGTAGCTGCTTCATCAGCAAGAATAGATCGACACGATCACCCAACTCACTCGTACGCCGCGATCATGATCTCGCCTTGCTCCGCCTCCTCCTCTTCGCGTGCTGCAGCGGCAGCAGCCGGAGGAGCCGGTGGGGCTGGGGGCGGAGGTGGCGGAGCGGGCGCTTCAGGCTCCGGCTCGGGTTCCGCAGCGCCCTCGGGAAGAAGCTCGCAGTAGTTGGAGGGGAACAGGCCGGACTGGCCCGAAGCGTTGGTCCCAGACCACCAACCTGGACGTCAGCCAAGCCACGCGTCTATACTCACCCTCGTCGAGCTCCTCGATTTGGGTGATGACCTCGTCTTCGGCAAAGGAGATCTCGTTCTGCCATTAGTTAGGCGCTTTACATCTCACTCACGTCTTCGGCGGCCTCGTAGTCGTAAAGAGCCTTGGCTCGCTTGCCAGCAGGTGCCGGCGGTGCGGCCTGCGCAGCACCGGGACGAGTGGCCATGGGAACAGGCGGAGGTGCACCCGCACCAGGGCCCTCCTCGAGGGTGAGGTCCGACTTGAGCCTCTCGAGCTCCTCGACTTGCTGCGGCATTAGCGAGGGGCGGCGATGAACAACTCACGGGATCCTTGGAAGGCATGGGCGGCGGAGGAGGCGGAGGTGGAGGCGGTGGCGGTGCCGCGGGCTCCTCGGTGTCTTCGACGACAGGCTCCGGGCGGAACGGCATCGGCGGGGGTGGAGGAGGCGCCCCCCAGTCGCCTTCGTCCTCCTCCTCTGAGCCGGGCGAAGGAGCACGAGGGGGGAGCGTCCGGGTCACCGGTGCAGGCGGTGCGGCAGGGGGAGCAGGAGCAGGCGGAGCGGGAGGAGCAGC